CTTCAAGTGTGTTTCACTTGAGCCCCTGGGAAGACTTGGCTACAGCTTTGGCTGAAATTGGAGGAGAAGCCGAGAGGACATGAGTGGAGACACAGCAGCATCTGACACACGGTACTCTTGCCTGCCCTCCGTGCTCTTCCCTCCCCGCTCCCACATTCTTGTGATCCCAAATTTTGGCACCAGGAACTAAACAGTAACGTTAATGATGGGTATTTAGATTTGCCAATGTATTTAGCTGATTCATTTGCTCACTATTTCTTATTCCAACCCACTGCATCTTTCTAGATTCACTTTTTCTTTCAAATGATGTCTGAAAATGTACTTAATCTACCATTACTCTCCAAGGACAGACTTGCTGTGTTCACAACTGTAGGTCCAACTTTGTTATCCTTTATCCCTTTGAAAATACTGTTTAATTGTTTTCTGGCTTCCAGTGTTGCTGATGAAGACTCTGATGTCATATTCTTATTCCTTGTTTTCTGGTACTAAATTTTTTTTTCTTGATATTTGATGCTCTGAAGTTTTACTAGCATGTGAAACGAGTATAGATTTTTTTTGCTTGTTTGTTTTTTCACCATGCTTAGGATGTGGTGAGATTTTTCCTAATCTAAGGATTTTTTTTTTTTCCACTTCTGGAAAGTCCCCAGCCATGACCTCTTTGGCAGTTTCTCTTTATCACCCTTTCTATCTCTGTCTGTTCAGACACATCTGTTTATTCTCCTTGTGTGCCATTGGGCTATTGACCTGAGACAAAGACCACCAGATGTTTCTCCAACAAAGATGGGTTTATCTGGGATTGACAGAGAGTTAAAAGAGTTATAACAACTCTTTAAAATCCTTCTCTGGTGAGGCAGGATCAATACGGCAGAGGAGGAAGACCCTGAGCTCACCTCCCCATCAATCAATCAAAACGACAAATACATACAGAACAAGCCTCAGTGATCATGATCCAAAAATGAGCAGAATGACTCTTCTACCACCAAGGCTGTAAGGAAAGAACCACATGGAGTCTGATAGGAGGGGAAGAGAAGCAATCTATTAAGAACCCACACCCCTGGTAGGTGAGCCAGAGAGGAGCGGCTCAGGGATCCGCCCTGGGGATCAATGGGTTCAAGCCACATATTAAGTAAACCAAGCCTTAGGGGCCAACATCAGGAAGATAAACCCCTTTACCTGGTTTGAAAACCAAGAAGGGCTTACCAGAGGGCTGGAATAAGCTGAGACTGCTCTTGAAGGACTTACGCACACACTTGCTGGATCCCAGACCCAGTAGCAGATAGAAAACTGCCTTGTGCTCTGGCCAGCCTGCCAGGACCACCCCAGCAGGTCCCTCAGCACACACCAGGCTCTGGGTCCAGCACATCCTGCTCCACCACTGCCCCCCACTGAGAAGAAGGCCACCACTGCCAATGCACACGTTCTCACCAGGGAAGGAGCAGAGCCAGCTCAGGCCCCAGCCCTGCCTCTAGCCAGAGCAGAGCCCACAATTGCTGGTGTACGTACGTACCATGGAGGGAGCGGAGCTGGCTCGGCCAGGCCCTGCCACTAGCCAGGGTGGAGACCGCCGTTCCCAGCATGCACATGCGTGTGCACACTGGGGAAGAAGCAGAGCCAGCTCAGGCCCGGCCATGCCTCTAGCCAAGGAGGAGACCACCATTACCATGATGCACGTGCACGCATGCACCAGGGAAGGAGACAGCTCAGTAATGCAGCTCCAACATCTCAGCCCTGACTGCACCATAACCAAGGTATCCACGTGGCGGGGACAGGTAGAACCAGCATGGAAATATAGCCCCAAGCCCTCCGGCCCGAGCCACACCCTCAACAGCACCATCCGAGAGCTTGTTAAAAACGCAGAATCAGGCCCCCCTCAGAACAACGGAATCAAAACCTGCACCTTAACAAGAGCCCCAGGTGATTTATATGCACATTCATGTTTGAAAAGCACTGGTTTAAAGCATAAATTGATAAATTAAGAACCTGTTTCAAAAGGATCACTGAAAAGTGTCAGGAACACAGGAAAGAAAAGACTACAAACACTGAAAATAAACAGCATAAATGTCTCTACAATTGGCCTTACTCACTTTTAACCACTAGTAGAACAAAGGCTGTACAGAGCAAGCCCTGTCCTTTACCGCCCCACACACGTGCAGTTCAACAGCGAGACCGCCAGGGAGCCGGCCCATGCCCACGCCAGTGCCCTGATTTATAACATTAACGCAACCAACTTCATTACAGTGACTCTGCTTCCCAAAGGATTCATGACAGTGTCTCTATACTTTGTGGTAAAAGCGGTAGGAGAACGCAAGGGAAAGATACATTTTCATCTGATAAAAAAAAGTATTTTTAAGTAGTTCATTCTTTAAAATACATTACAACCTCCAAAAGCAGTGCTTTACTTCCTTTAAATGTAAACCAAAATTCTATTATAACAAACATAGAACTGGAGGTTTCCAAATTTCCTGAAGATGAGAAAAGTGAAATGATTAGAACCCAGGTCTTCTAACTCCCAGGCTCATGCTCTTTCTGCTGTAGCAATTTGCTAATTTACAGCCAAGTATTTGCAACTGCTTTTCTGGTCTAGGAGAATATTTATTTTCAAATTACGGTTTTTCTCCTAAGTGCTTAATGAAATGTCAGTTCAAGGGGAAGGATATAGCTCAGTGGTAGAGAGTGTGCTTATTAGCAGGCACAATTACAAGGTCCTAGGTTCAATCCCCAGCACCGCCATAAAAATAAATAAATAAATAAATAAACCTAATTACCCCCACCAAAATAAATGTTTAAAAAAAAAAGTCAGTTCACTGTTTTCATTCAACCGTATTATCCCAACAACACAACATTTTCCAAATACTAAAACCAAACAAACTTATTTTTAAGAATTCTAAGGGGAGGGAAAAAAGAAGTGGTTGTAAGTACTGTTAAATGAACTCAGCTGTGGGCTGGAGGGTGGAGGGGGCTGGGGAGGGCTCAGTTATGTGTTCATTAGAAACCTTACCTCTTCCTTGATGCACAGGAACTAGCTTTCAGAGCCAGCATATCATAGACATAAAGAACTTTGCTGTGAGTGCTCGTGGCTAAAACCTCTTCTCCATTAGCACTGAAACAAGCCTTAAAGATTGGAAACTGTTCCAAATAGATGCTCTGAATTTTAGGATTTGTTTTTCCATCAACCTATAAGGAAGCACAAAATGTTCCTTTTGGTTACTTCCGCAAACCCTGTATGCTGACTATAAACACTTCTCACTACAAGTCTTCATTTAAAAATGCCCACCTGAAAGAGTGATATAGCGTTATCTAGTCCAGCGACCATCACAACCTGTGCACAGGGGTGGTACTGCACAGACGAGACCCGAGCAGTGGTAGGACGTTCAGTGTTAGCGTGTTGGCAGTTCTTCGTCTACAGAAAAATAAAACTGGAATTTTATCAATTCAAACGGGTTAACATTATTTTCTTTAAAGCGTAAGAAAAAACATTATAAAGTAGTTCGCAATGCAGAACAAAGTGCACTGGAATGGTAACCAGAAGAACACAGCTCTGCTACCAACCAGCAAGTCATTCTGCTGTAAAAGAATCCATTTTTACCATCTTTCAAAGAAAGGGATTAAATCATTAAGGCCTTAGAATATAGTTACTTCCCCAACACACATCCATTCGGGTTGGGAGACTTTTATGTCCAGAGAAATTTTACTTAAAACTCCTACTCTGGCATCTGTGCATTCATGGTACAGAGGTAAGAGGCACTGGGTAGGCATCCCCATGGTTCTCCGGTTGGCAGTTGCTTGTGTTCTCCTCTCAGGGTACGTGGTTGATAGTTTAAAGCGGTGATGAGTTCATGCGTCATTTGGACTATTTTCAGTTATTTCTGTTTTTACAGGTTTTCTCCTCTGCATTAAAAATTCAATTATATAAAAAACAAAGTATCATATATATGTTTTGTTTGAAACCACTGAAGTTAAATTATTATGGTGATTACTTTTTTTTTAACTCACTAATTCTTATTTTCTATTTATGTGTAATCAATTTACAAATGGTGACTGCATTTTCAACAGGGGTGAATTCACCCCATGTGGAGTTAAATGAATTATCTTCATAGGGTGAGGAGACAAAATCACTCTAATAATTTACCATAATAGGGTCCCCTCTCCACCAATACACATGCCACCATTTTATAATGGGGAAAATACCTGTGTCAGAGAGAAATCTGGTCATTGATATTTAATCAAAGCAAGTGCTGGGTACGCACTTGGTTACCACAATAAATGAGAGAGACAGTGATGAATTAGAAGGTAACTCGTAGGCCACTTTAGATAGGATGGCCAGGAAAGACATTTCTAGATGTCATCTGAGCAGAAAGGTAAGAATGAGTTGGCCACTGGCAGTGTTGGAAGACAAGCAGAAGAATGAGTAAGAGCAAAAGTTCAGAGGCAAAAATGGGTTGGCATGTACAAGAAACAGAAAGAAGGCCTGTGTGGCCTGAGTGAGGAATAAGAGGAAAGGTATGTGATGAAGATGCAGGCAGAAGCCAGATGGTGTGAAAGGCAGTGTAGACTGGGGTAAGGAATTCACAAATTTTCAGAGTAGTGAAAAGTGACACAACATGATGTTTTATTTTTCAAAGATCCCTCAGGTTACTGTAGAAAGAGTAGTCTGGAAATGGAGAGTCTAGTCACAAAGCTGCAGTGCACTGGGTGAGAGATGACAGCAGTAGAAACTAGGCTGGTACCAACAGAAAGGACAAGAAATGCAAAAGGGGAAATCAAATCAGATTCCCAAGATTCCTGGGGACATAATTTAATCTTATCCATCACTTCTGCAAAAGGAAAAAACCTAACATAAATATTTATCAAGGCAAGATGACAGCAAGCACATTTAATCCCCCAGATAAAGGGAGTCAACACATTTGTAACTGGGAAGCATATTGGATTTCAAAGGTAATTAGCTAGAGAGGTCCAATTTCACTGACTCTCACTTTTAAGATTCCTTTAGGAGTGGCTGATGTGGATTGGAAATTCCCAGTCCTTTGCAACAAATCATCTTCATCCTCTTCACTTTCATCTAAGTCAAATAAACCCACAGGCTGATCTTTAGAATCAATGAGATGGCCATTACCTACCCCAAACATCTGTAAGTAAAACTTCAACCCCCAGTCTCCCAACCTCAATCATTTTATTTAACCTGCAATTGGTAAAAGTAAAACAGCAAAAGAAATTTGAAGGAGAGGAAAATGACGACAAAGACCTCAATATATATGGTTAAAATCAAAGCCTAACTCTGGAATCAAAGACACACATTCACAGATGGTGACTGAAACAACATGAAATGAAATAAAGTTGTAATAAGAGTCAGCATTTAATTTAAAAGGAGAAATTCAGATTGTGGCAAAATTGGCAACAGGACGAACAGCAGATCTAGCTTAACAACTCACATGGAAAAGAACTAGAACTTCTAGGTGACTGAGAGATCAAAGTCAGCAAACCATGTATCTGAACTCCAAAGAGAGGTAACAGGGCTGCTTTTCCCCTGGAGATGACTGATGGTTCCAGGAAAGAAAGCTGAGACGCTAAGTAGAGTTTTTAAAACACCTGTAGGGTTAAGGAGGCAAAAACTAGCATCAAAGCCCTCTAAGGTTGGTAAATGGTCTGGCAAACCAGTAGGCTTTGGATTGTTGCCATAAAAGGGTAACATAAAATTAAAGGTGAAGTCAAAGAGTTATGAGAAAATCTCCCAGCAGCTGAAACCCAGCTTTGAATCCTCACACTCCCTCACTAGAATAAGATGCTCAGGGATTGCTAGTGCTCCTTGGCCACCTACCCATAAACAAATGCACAGATTCTCTGGCCAAAGATGTCACTGTCCGAGACCTCTAATTAATCAGTAGTATTGTTCTCCAGTGAAATATAACCAGGTCAATAATGACAAGGTACGGCAACTTGACCTGAAACCTAAGGAAAAATACGCAATTTTCATAGAAGATCTAGATAATGGAATTATCGGATACAAACCTTAAAAAGATTATGTTTAAAATTCATAGAAAAAGAGATCAGACTTGTGGTTACCAGAGGCTGGGGGCAAAGTGAGGGGGAACTGAATGAAGGCAGTCAGAAGGTACAACTTCC